TTTTGCTAAAATCAGATATAAAAGCTGCCGGTAGAACATTAGCCAAGACGCTTCTGGTCCTTAATTACCACAACTCATGGTTATTTCATGGTTCCAACTTTATGAGAAGGTACCGATATCCGTCATCTATGTAAATAGCTACCTTTACAGAACTGTTTAATAGACTTTGTGTTTGTACATCAAAGAAACGACAAACGCCGACAATAACGGTTTTTTGAAAGCTAATTTAAATATTTATATTTCATATGCGTTATTCCTGGGAGTTTTCCTTGGCTGTGATTTTATAATTATTTTTTTAATAAATGTTCAAGGAAAAGTGAGACAACGACACAAAGTTGGAACATAGTTACACCACGGTTAAGGCCCCTCTTAACGACGGCTGTAGTAGCGGTACAGGCTGGCAGATCTGAGTGACGCGATAGACGTTTACCGTATGATCTGTCGCTCTGATCACACTGATTTTAGCGAGCAGGTTCGATCGAAAACGAAACATATGTTTGGACAAAAGCACTACGCATGTTGGGCGGTACAGAGTAGCCCACATAGGGATCGTAAAATTATAAATCAATAGGCAACTTAACATGTCCTTTAAGTGAAATAAATTATGTTTCTAATTTCACAATAGCTGTTAAATCTGATTTGTTTTATAGGTTCTGCAATTACTTCCAGCGTCGTTACTATTTTAATTCCAGTTCACGTTTATGACATCAATCACCTCTTCTATTTATTTTATTTTATATTTCAATTTTTTTATTGAATTATATTCTTTTGATTGATATGTTTTCGAAATACATCAATTTGAATGCCGGTGGTTTTTCACGAGTCATAATTAACAGTTAATTAAAAGATAAGTCTCATTTTAACATATAAACCCGACAAGTGTAGTTGTATGTAAACACAAACCGACATTAGTCAAACGTTATTTTTTATCTGGATAGAATTCATGACAATACAACAATGCGTTTAAAAAATGTAATATTTTATCTATTAGATACTTATATACTTATTGCTTATTCGTATTCATTATTCTTCTTAAATTTTAGTTTGTGTTTGTTTCAACAAAATCGTTTGCTTATCAAGAATTACTTATAATATAAAAAGGAGCATATGCAATATATACATATATATTAAGTCATGCCAGTCATTTTTCAGATAAAGAAGTGAATTCTAGATCAATATGCAGCAGGTGATTATGTAAAATGAAATATAGGTGATCAGTAGAGGTTAGAACCTTTAAATAGGGTTACTGCACATTTGTCTAGCACTCTCTAGTAAATTAGGGAAAGGTCATGTTGTTTTACAACGGTATTTAATCCCAATTTGTTCCCAACCTTTGCTTTTTAATGTGACAGATATTTTGTAGGTTAACGACAAAAGAACCCCGACCCACGTATATTAGGTAAGTAGTTCATTCTGTTTTTAGAGCGGTGGTAACGTTTTTGTGTTATAAATTATATGAATCATGTTGTACCGCTACAATTTCTGGACTTGGTTATCTTTTTCTTTTTATGGTAAAGGTTGTATTGTAATGAGTCTAGCACCTGCGAAAACCTCCACTCATGTTTCAGAGCCAATTACGGATGCTTCCTGTGCTGTCTGTGGCCAAATGCACATTACTCATTTGCGCACACAGTAAGTAAGATAAAAGAGTGTGTTTTTAATGGGAGTCTATATATGATTTGCGTGGTTTTTAACATGACAATCAGACATCTAATGAGAAAAGTAGTTTTTTTCGGAACGAGTTTAAAAAAAAAAATCATATGGAAGGAAAGTAAGTTTGGTTTTTTTCATTACGTTCATTACGCTCAAAACAATGCAAGATTTATAATGTTTACCTAATGGTAAACATCATAGATCTTGTATTTGGTTTGAAATACATTTTCATCGTTATGTCTTGGTTATTGCAATAGTCTTGCTTCTCAAAAAAAAACATCATCTAAGTAGCAGAATCATTATTTTGGAGGAGGAAGGCGGCTGTAATAAACCAACTGTAAATTTGATAAATTACGCTAGAGGATGAAATGCTAAGAATAATAAGATATTTATAACAAAAAGGTGAATATAGGCAAAGTAATCGTTCCTATTTCATCAGACTAGATCTATCACAGACTGGGTCATCAATAACCTAGTCGTGCACTTAGATACCGTGTTGACAAGAAACTACATCTAATGATCGGAAGTACCATTTGTAAAAACACGGGATAAAGACATGATTTTTTTTTTTTATTTCAAGTGAAAGATAATTATTTTATTGTAATATGAGATACGTCTAGTTTATATGCTGTATATACGGCATTATTTTCTCTTGAGGGAGGATACATCAATTGTATATATTGTATACCTGTAATATATACGATATACATGGCTGTTTATGCTGTATGAGGTTAAAGATAATATATAAATAAATAAGGCTATATATACTGTATACAAGTTTCTGTGTACTGTATGCAGGGTTATTATAAACTGTTTACTGGGATATTATATACTGTATACAGAATTATATACACTGTATATATAGTTATATATACTGTACACAAGGCTATATATACTGTATACAAGTTTCTGTGTTGTGTACTATAAACAGTGTTATTATAAACTGTTTACTGGGATATTATATACTGTATACAGAATTATATACACTGTATACATAGTTATATATACTGTACACAAGGCTATATATACTGTATACAAGTTTCTGTGTACTATAAACAGTGTTATAATTAACTGTTTACTGGGATATTATATACTGTATACAGAGTTATATACACTGTATACATAGCTATATATAATGTACACAAGGCTATATATACTGTATACACGTTTCTGTGTACCATAAACAGTGTTATTATAAATTGTTTACTGGGATATTATATATTGTATACAGAGTTATATACACTGTATACATAGCTATATATACTGTACACAAGGCTATATATACTGTATACAAGTTTCTGTGTACTATAAACAGTGTTATTATAAATTGTTTACTGGGATATTATATACTGTATACAGAGTTATATACACTGTATACATAGCTATATATACTGTATACATAGCTATATATACTGTACACAAGACTATATATACTGTATACAAGTTTCAGTGAACTATTGCAGGGTTATTATAAACAAGACCGTGGTTCCCTCAGCAGAAGACAGTTATAGTTCAATATATCATTTTATGAAAATGCATAGGTGTCTTCAGTAAGTTGTCTATATTTATAAATGGTGACCGTTCATTTCATATAGCTCCAGTGCTATGAAGTAGGAATATGATATTGAAGTGTTTTTGTTTGCTTATGTTCAATAAACAATTACCAGTAATTAATTTGAATTTCTCATGTAATTTATCAAACCTCATCAAAAACAAGCTACAAAGAAGATTAAGACAGGAAAGCAATGGTATAGGCTTAGCGATTGTTCTTTCACTTCCAACCATGCGTAATGTACGTGGTGGACGTTCAATATTATACCAAACATTTCTGTGTTGGAGTTATTAGGTCTACATACTTACACTAATTGCTCATATTCTTTCTTAATCTTTTAAGTGGTGTTCAGAAAACTCCCGCGAAAAATTCAGATGCAACAGGAATCAAAGTACACGTGACATTACGTTGATTGAATTAGGAGGTCATTTGTCATAATTGCACTATTCACATTTTAGTGATAATGTGTTACAATAAAATTATTTAATGAAATTGTGCTACTTTAATTAAATAATGAAATTTAAAATCATTATTTCCAAAAAATTTCAAACACGGGAAAGCACCGCGGGGAGACCTAATTCAAGTATAAAACAATCCGTACGTGAAATGAATTAAGCTCTTTAAAACTCTGCACGAAAAGGAACTTAAGCCGATGCCACCATCTCTATCAAACCTTTGAACGAAGTTGAAAGAAATTCTAGTACGGGACCTTAGTGCGTAAAAGTAGTGTGAAATAACGAATCAGTATCGCTAAATCTGTTACATTCGTATTGTTAATTTAACATGTAAAGCATATGAATATCACGCAATCAAATAATAAGATTTTTATCAAATTAAATATGCAGATTTGAGAATATTTGTGTTTTAATTAAAACAACTATAGCGTTACATGGTTTGTTATACTCTCACTCTACTTAACAAGGCATGAAATTACATATTGCCATATGGCGGCGGCCAGCCTTCCTAAAGGGATCGTGATGGAGGAAAACCTATAAATATTCATTAGATTATGAGAGACCTGCTGATGGGCCGTAACGCATCACGCTTGAATGAAGACGCATCAGAAACCTAGGGATAGTCAACTGTTCAGCAGAGCTCAAGACGTAATTGTTTTCTTAGAAAATAGCGGTTTGCGTGTAATAAAACAGACTTGTTCAAAGCTTACGGATTATCATCATGTAAGGGCAATTTCAAATTAAACTTTCCTTCACGTCCCCCTGCAAATATTTCCATTGTGCATCGGTCACCTTGGTTCAGACAGCCATGTGTCGACCATTTTGATTCATGAGAGTTTAGACATAAGACAAGCAGTTATAAAAGAAGAAACTGAAGACACACTGCAACAAAACGAAAGACAGCATAAGGAACTGAAACAAAACGGAAGGCAACATTCAAAACAAGGGAAACACTGAAACAAAACGAAAGACAACATCATAAACTGAGGAGAGACTGAAGCAAACGGAAAACATTCAGACCCCCTACCCAAGCTCCCTCTCCCCTTTAGCAAAACAACAACCACAAAACAGAGGGAATTACAACATATGTACCACCCTTCATCATATATTTCTTCATCTACGCCTATTTTACTTACATATCCATAACGCATGACAAATAGAGAAACGGATAATCACAAAAAAAAACATTATTTTACACGTGTGTCATATGGTGACTTATCTATGTTACCCCTTTTTTTATTGTTTTATCTATTGTAGTGTAACAAAATACGCTTAGCATTAAAAAAGAGAAAGAAAAACAACAACTGTTATGTTGACGCTTTCATTGATAAAAAAAATGCTATGAACATTAATTTAATGAAGATCTAACTAAGGTCAAACGTCTTCGACATTGCTCCTGTGGCATAACAGGGCGAAAAAAAGATACGTAACTTTTCTCATGAAACAAGTATCAACTTTTTGTTATTTATTTGATCGATCAGGATTCTTGATTCGTCAAATCTTTGACAATTTACAAGTTGTTTATTTGTGTATTTTTGATGCAGAGATAATTTATTTTCCTCGTATCGAAGTTGCCAAAATAACTAACGCAATACAGACATCAATCATATGTCCATGTTGATAATGCTGGTGATAGAATTAGCCATCGGTGTTGTCAAGAGAGTTTAACGACCCGGCAACTGTCGCTATGTGCATATGTTTGGGATGGCGACACACCGTCACCGGCACGTGCGCGTGATGTAAGATATAATCACTATGGCTACCCATGAGCGTTCTCCTTATCTGGCTGTGACCTCTCGACCCACAGATGATGTGGTCAACATGTTCCTCACTCGCCACTTTGACCACTACTTCTCCGGCCTTACCAAGCTGTGTTTTCACCATCCCTTTCAACTGGAATATAAACATATATGAAGAGTTATATAAACGGGTATACTTTTCGTTTTAATAAAATTACATACATTATATACTAAATAACTTAAGTAAATCATTAATATGAAAAGCTTAGATCGTAGTTCAGATTTGACTACGTAACATCACGGGATATTTAATTTTGCGTTAATCTGAGTAAAATGTCGATCGTCAGTAAAACAAATGTCTTTGTATAACGTAAGGAGTACATGCTAGTTTAAACATGTTGATGTCCTTGTTTTTATGTACCGTAATGTGAGTTTGCGATACCATACAATTATTACTATAAGCATCTCGTTTATCATTACAATTTTGAGGATTTTGCAGGAGCTGCCTTATCAGGCGCTAACTACTAGTCCTATGCCACCTGGCTAATATCTCCATATGTGTGTATGCGTGTGTGCTGTAGATGAATATGTTCTGTTTGTAGTGGGACCGTGCTTCCAACGGCATCAATTATAGTGCCACCACACTTGAATGCTACAGCACAGGAGAAAACCCTTTCTCTGAATATCCATGCCGACGACGACTTCGGGGATCGAACCCCGACCGCCTGCGTGGAGTGTTAACCACTCGACCTATCCGCCCATGTAGGGTTATATATAGTTGGTATCAGAAGGCTTGTGTTAAGCGTATGTTGCCACCAACAAGATAATATATAATTATCTGTAAGTAGAATTAAAATACACAGTGAAAAGTTTGATGTACCTATCACATTTTGGATCTTATTTGTCAAAGAATGCTATTATAACGTTCTGGCATACGTTTTTAATACTTGTTATATTTATGTGATAACTCGAAAAAATATTGTCACATGCCCCCGGCAAGAAAAGATATCTAGATATTACAATAAAAGTTCAAAGTACCATACATGTGAAGTTGTACAAATTTGAACTGTTTTTCTACATCCCACACACAGGGACAAAATCGGAATTCCGGGTCGATTGAAGTAATAGAGAATATGAAGTAACAGTGATAAGACCTGGCAAAAATAGGTACCAACAACAGTAGGAACTGTCAATGGTAAGATATGACAAAAGTACGAGTTCGGAACAATAAGATCTGACAACAATAGGAACAGACAACGGTAAGATCTTACAAAAGTCAGAACTGACAACATAAGATCTGACAACAGTAGGAATTCATAAAAATAATATCTGACAATAGCAGGAAGTGACAATATAACATCTGACAACAGAAGGAACTGACAACAGTAAGATCTGATAAAAGTTGGAACTGACAACTGAAGATCTGACAACAGTAGGAACTGACAACATAAGATCTGACAACAGTAAGGCTGACAACATAAGATATGACAACAGTAGGAACTGACAACTATAAGAAACGCAAGAAACTGAAAACATGATATCTGACAACAGAAGGACCTGGCAACATAAGATCTGAGAAAAGTTGGATCTGACAACATAGGATCTGACAACAATAAGAACTGACAATAGCAGGAGTTGACAGCAATAAGAACTGACAACAGTAGGAACTGTCATATATACGGCTAATAAAAGTAGAAGCTAACAACAATAGGAACAAACAACAATAGGATCTGAAGAGACATCTAAATAATAGGAAAGACATTATGAGCACACACCTTTTAGTAACTTATTTTTCATTTATCATCTAGTTTTCGTTTCGTAGAATTGGTTTGTGTTTTACAGTTTAGCTTTTGTCTCATGGAAATTCTTATGTCGTTTATGAATAAGCTTTCGTTTTATACGAATTTGTTTGTGGTAAATTAGAAATCCATAATCTATCAGATTATAAATACAGACAACAAAGTTGTTATCAGTCTTTAATATTACAATATGAAAAATATAAAGTAGCCTACTCCTGTGGACTCCAGTTTTTTGGTTAAGTTATTCACAAGTATCCTGTGTTCGTCGGACTCCTCCTCCAGTATACTACACAGGGACTGTATGTCGGCACTGCCCAGGGCTGTCAATAAAACATAATAGACTTACAATGTATACAATCTGAGAACAGATACAAACACGGCGTCCATCTAGGTCCACTGTATTCTTGTTTATGTTTATTGTTTGGTACAGAATTAATTCATTTGCTACTAACATACTAAAACGGTTCTGAATAGAAAAAAAGTAAAGAGAGGTTAGTCGGTTGTGCAACGGTACCTAATAAACATTAACTACAATGAAACTACGTATATATCGAGATTTAGACTTCATGAATCCGATTCCTTAAATAAGATTAACACACACAGATGATTGCACCATTGATATCTGGTAATAGATACAGTATACGGAATAACGAATGACACTGAATCATACAGCTGTTTCATCCTTCCAAGCACATCTGTGAAGCTAGGGGCCAAAAGGATCTAGGCCAGTATTCATGAAACAGTTCTAATGCTCAAGCATGGATTTTGTGCTCAACCCAAATTTCTTGTAAATCACTCAAATCATGTCAAACGATCAAAAAGTTAAATATTAACATTGAAAACAGTATTTGGCTTTAAGTCTCTTCAAATTCTTTCCATATCATTGACAAAATAAGATTTTAGAATTAATTTATAAATGGAACAAGAAACTAGAATTAAGCACAAAATCCCTGCTTGAGCATGATAACGGTTTCATGAATACAGGCCCTGATCTTAACTAATGTAGAAACTGAAGAGCGGTGCGTAAAAGTATTAATTTTTCAAATTTTAGTTTTTTTAATCCTGTGTAATATCAAACTTAACAATTATTAAAATGCTTATATATTACGAACCATGCCACTATTAAAACTATTACTGCGGCTATCAAGGGGACTAAAAGAATCCATGAGTAGAGTTCACCATTATGTATCCTAAAAGATGAACGCAACAAACACAGGTTATATACAGTATGCCAAAAATGAATAATACTGCAAAATACAACTGTTTCATACTTCGAGGAATCGTCGGTGATATTAGGGGTCGCAAAGGTTGAAATCCATATTTGTCTATAAACTACTGTTGATACAAAAATAAATAAGAATATTAGGAGAAAACATGGAAGATTAAATATTATTACAATTTGTATAATTTCATCATGAGGTGTAAACAAACATTGAATGCATAACAAAAAGGATTGTTTCATTATTGGTAAATGAAAAGCTCCGTCTTTTTTTTTTGAAATAACATATATATACAAACAATCGTCTGTGTCACTTGACCCTGATCAATCTGCATTACAATCTATAGACATTCAGATGAAAGTGTTACCTGCAATTGGTTTATTATTGTTTGAAGATTATGCACTTTATCCTCGGAATTGCAGCAAAAATAGTACATATTTAATATAATTAACGATTTTTTGTTATTCACTAACAAATTAGTTCGAAAATAATGATTTTTCTTGGTAGATGTGAAGTTACTCGTATAAAAATGTGACTAAGGTAATATTTCAGTACAACAAATAAATCCAAACAACAGCCTTTTCCGAATCATCCATTTTAATCATATTTAGACTTATTGTCCGTAATATATTTGTTATTACTTAGCCTGAAGTGTGCAAACACACGTTCATCGTACGCGAACAGGTTTAAAGGTGATGTTCTATTGGATGATGTGTGTGGTATGCTAAACAAATGTGTAGCATACTTTGTTCCAATTGTTTGATTAGCTTTTGTAATTGTGTATGTGACCGACCATTGCCAACAGTACCGTTACATATCATGTGTACGATGCGCATGTCTACATCGCGTCACATCCGCTTTAAGACGATATCAGTTTAGGTCTATGTTTGTGTTTTAGATTAGTGTCAGAAGTCAGTTTGTCCTGTGTCAATAAGATTTACACCGGAACTTAATCGATGTCAATTTTCTCCCAATATATACGATACCTTAAAAATACTTTCCGTTACAGAGGAAATATTTATTACAACACGTTCTGCTGTATTCTGACAACACGTTAACTATTTTTCATTCCTATGGCATTGTTGAAATTTATTTTTCATTATTTATGTAGGTCAGGTCGATCCTTAGAAAATCATCTTAATTTTACATAACAACTGATTATCAATATTAAGGACTCCAACAAGAGAATTATTAAGGTTCAAAAAGCCGCCCCTGACTTTCTATTTTCAAACCCATGATAAGTCACTATCACAGACCCACATTATCAAGCAGAACTCATAGATGTAATTTGAACTTAATGCACTTGTACATAAGCTATTAAACTGGTACATAGCGAGGTTAACATAGTCAATGACTAGACATAAAGGCTGATGTCTCCATGTCAGTCTTTTTTGCGATTCAACTGAATACTTCGAAATGGCATATTATCTGAAGTTCATGTACATACCCAAGTTTTGCAGAGGTTAACTTATCTGTTCATATCTGTGAAGAGGCATAACGGGTTCATTTTAAGTTAGATGTTGCCATGAGAAACTGCTAAAATCGTTGTGAAATACAAAAGACTAATCAATGAACTTTAGATGACACGCCATTTCATAACAGTATGTGATGCTATTATTGTGCTCGACATGTTATAAACATTGAAACTGGAAAGGGTGATAATGTTTATAACATGTCTAGCTTTTTTATGAAAGCATTGAATATTATGGAAGGACAGTTACCTAATGGTAAAATATCTTCCTTTGTTATTTTCATCTATTTTTTGTAGATTCTCATTGCCACAATCATCTTGTTTTGAGTCCAGCAAGCCTCTCCAAAGATAATCAAAGAGAAAGTAAGCTCCGCATGACCTAGGCATATACTTGAACTTGAGATAATGCGTAATTTTGTAGTATGCAGTTGGTTCGCTAAAGTGATTTACATGTTATAAGTCCGATGAATTATTTTTATGAAGATATCAGCATTAATGCCTTATTATTGACTACGTTAACCTGGATATGGGCAAATTTAAAAGCTAATGTAGAAGTTCAATGTATTCATATTGCATATATGAATTCCAATTTTTAATTGTGGTCTTTAAAAACGACTGAACAGGGGGTTTGAAATTTGGGTGACTGTAACCTCTTTTAGGAAGTTTGGACCAATGTAAGCCTGTTTGAGTACGAAAGCAATGTTGACCGGAAATAAACTAAGCGACTTTCTTATATTATTTACACAGGAAATCAATATGATTTTGTTTGTAAATTTCTAAGTATATACATTAAGATAACAAGATTTTGATAGACATTCAAAGACGAATTTTAGTTTTGACTTAAGGTACATCCTTTTCAAAGTGTTCATTTTCAAAGATTAGTCTTTAAATATGCAAGCAAGAACCCTTCCATCAAATCTACCAAAATGTTTGAATTGGGAAACAAGAATGCAATAATATCATAATAAACATAGTCTATGTAAATGAAGAGTAGTGATATTTTGAAACGGTAAAAAGAATAGAACTTTGGTGTATTTTTCCTTCAGATGGAATGCTTGATTAGTTTCCCACTATTGCAGCCAAAGGTCAAGTTCAATTAGCTTTCCCCAACTTGAATATAAATGTAATTGTAGTATAATGTAATACCCCCGATCATAATTTTCAATGAAAATCTTTTTCTGCAAGTGTCATTTTGAAACTTTTTAAATAACACCAAAATCAGTTCCTGAAAGTCAGACGAAGAGGCCTTAATTTGCATATGAACACTTGGAAACTGTTTGGTAAACATTTTCACAATTTTTGAAACATTTTGTTCGTCGATTTGTTAATATTTTAATGTTTGTTGATACAGATTGCTTCAACATATTTAGCTGATTCTGAGTTCCAAACATCTACTTTGTCATTATCAACGTGTGCAAAGAAAATTCAAATAATTATTTTCTGAAAAGTTTAGTCAGATATACTATATTGTTATGTTCAAGTCGAGTAGATTCGTGCTCTAATTACATATGTGAGAATACATTCTAAAACGTGCTGGCAAAATTTGACAATTAATTAAGGCAAGACCAGTTGTATGACTTATAAAGATATTATCTTTGAGATACCATCCATTCCTTGCTTATAACAACCCATATTGCCTGAATTTCTTTTAAGTGCTTAAATATGTCACCAATGTATTCGTCAATAGTTTAACGTTGTAGGGGAGATAACTCACAATATATCGTTGTACTAGTTAACTAGCTTAGATAAGCTTTCGTCAACATTAAGTTTTCGCAATAGGGACGACCATTATCAAACGTTATTTATATATGACTAACAGCCTTATTATTTCTTATACACAAACAACTTATTCTATTTGAACGAATATATGTAATTTGCCCTAGTTTATCTTTACTGTAATATTAATGAAAAAAACCAAAATACCGGATATTGTACGATACCTACTAGTCCATTTTGTTTCGAGGAAATTGTTTTCTCTTGAAACGATTTTGGATCTTAAAGTATTAAAACATTGGGTGTACTACCAGTGGACAAGCCGGTGTGACGTTCAAGTGCGCTGACTATAACAAGCTGGTCATCTGACTTCATCAGGTTGGTCGTATACCCTGCAAATAAACAAGTCAATTAAACTCTAAATGAGATGCAAATACCTGGGAATCGCTAGGTTGTCAAGTCACTATCATCTTCATTATCATCGTTCCCGCGTGATCAGTATCGTTGTCATCATGTTTTTTTTTCAAATGAAATACATACATCAAGTCAATTTTCATATTATTATAAGTAAGATAACCATACTTCATCGCCCTTTCCCAAATGTTATTCTTTTCAGAAACAATTGGTTTGAAACGCTTTACCAAAAATAAGAATAATGATGTTTTTATGATAAGGTCATTGACGTTAATAAATGCAAATATCACGTGCTAATTGCATGCAATTTATATGTTGTATAGCCCGCTGTATAAGCGATAAATATTAGCAAAAACTCACTTACATTCAAAAGCAAACTCAGAGTGAGAACTGCCGTCCATGGCCAGTAGTATCTTCCTTGGCTTGGACATCTTTATACACGCTTGACCACTGTGAATGTCAGACCTTACTCTTCAGAACACAGAAACACGTGTGAATGACCACGTCCCACGGGCACTAGGTCACGAACACGTACCTGTCTGGTGATAAGTCTAGTCGCCTGCACATATCTCCATAACGTTTAATCTTGAGGAGGACCTAGTGATAACAGTACAAAGCCTATCAAACCATTCGACTGTAGTGGTGGAGTCAACGAAACACCTATCTAAGGATAACTGGATGAGCCACGAGGTTTACTGTTTGAAAAATGTATTTTAAATAACGAAATATTTGTTTTCCTTTTTTTATTTTATAACAAAGCGTAAAACGTGTAACGACTAATGTAAACTATCAAATAATTAAGCAAGACATAGTGTGAACACATATTTAAAGCAAACGTTAATATTTCATTGATTCCATGATATGATCCTGAAATAGTTCCCGATGTTTTAAATGATATATCTTTGATTTCTTTATATTTGAACACTCGGTTGACCAACAACATATTAACAACACTGACCACTGAAAAATCCATTATTTATTAACTCTTCTAGCTGACCGCTATCTATATCGCTGTTCGGACGGGAATGTCATCCGGGAGATGTTATATTGTTATCGTTCAACGTACATTTATCTTCAAAGCTATGCGAACGTAAGTGTAATTGATTGCAAGATAAATAACAGTCTCACCTTTAGTAACGGTAGAGATGTCATGGATGAAAAATTTCTATGAAAACCATTTATCTCTAAAACTACGTGTAGCTATTGAACAAATTTAGTTTGATTAATAGACTATGTTAACATTCATAGTTACAATTTGAAGCGATTCGTATGGTACAGATGATATGTTTTACATTAAATTCGTAATAAACAATAAACCTTCTTCTTTTAATATGACTTTTATCAAATAACATTTGTGTGTTATTTCATTTTGTTGTATATAATGTACATTTTTTAAATATGCTTGACCATATGGGAGACGAGTCGTTGACTCAATATGTAATCAAGTTGAAATAAAGACTATTATTATTATTATTATTATTATTCATTGGGGAATTACATTGTGTTATTCATTCAAACATATTTTATTGACACTAGTCAAAGGGATTGTGTTATTAAGTGCGCCTTTTTTTAATTCAGTTGCATTGAGTGAACATTTCCTTTCTTTAATATGGACTAACGAAAATTATGAAGTAGCCTTTATCAACATCGTGTTTTAGTAGAAGGTGCCATTACGTCGCTGTATTACATATATAGTATCTTCCATGAGTTTTCATTTCATATGAGATTTATGAAACGAGTCTAAGAATTTTTCAATTTATCTATCTATAGCACGCCTTGTTTATATTTCCATTTCGTATGAAATTTATGAAACTGGTCACGAATTTTTCATTTTACCTCGTCAGAGAAAAATTCTTGGAAATGGAAACTCATGTAAGATCCGATATATATTGTTTGGCATTTTGGTTTCTTTTTCTCATTTACTAGAATCCCTGCCCTGGATTGTTTTCGAAGCAAGTGATACTACGATTCTCATATTATTAAATATTACACATTTTGTTAGACTCAAGACACCGAAGCAAAATGAAATAGATCGAGCACTGCAGTTGATTCGGAAAAAAAGTAAGTGTTTTCTGTCCAATTTTAAAGGGTATGACCATAATAAGTGATTAAGTACAGAATACATTTTTGTTCAATAAGCTATATTCGTAACAAATATCTAAAGTTAGAAATTTGCAGTTTTTATCAAATGTAGAACATTCAATAAAAGAAAACCCCAAGCGTTTCTGGGGCTATGAAAATGGAAAAAGGAAAGAAGGTCTAATTTCGAACTCTGTATGTAATTCTGATAACAAATCTTAATGCAGTGTTGAATCTGCCGAAATGTTTAATAACTTTTTTCAGGGTGTGTTTACTTCCGATAATGATCTCACGTATGACCATATACCCGGTGTATTTACTAACAACTCTTTTGAAAATCCTTTTTCTACGAATGAGCTGAGCTGTACCAAAGTGATATTGATGTAAAGAAGGCTTGTGGGTACGACAATATCCCTGGTATAGTTTTTAAAGAATGCGCACACGAACTGTGTGTTTCATTTTGTAACTTGTATAATAAATCACTTCGTAATGGTATTTTTCCTGAGTGTTTTAAAAAGGCTAATGTAATACCAATGTTTAAGTCTGGTCTGAGAAACTGTGTTACAAATTATAGACCAGTGTCATTATTGCCAATATTGTCAATACTTTTTGCAAAACTTGTTGATGGTGAATTCTCATCATTTGTAAACCCTCTAATTTGTAATGAGCAACATGGGTTTATGCCTACGAGGTCTTCAGTAACCAATCTCACATGTTTTACTGATTTTGTGTCTGACGCTGTTTATTAAAAGATTGATGTCCATGCTGAATATACCGATTTTTCTAAAGCATTTGACCCAGTGAGTCACAGATTATTATTACATAAACTTCACGCTTGTGGCATCAGGGGTAACATTTTAAACTGGTTCAACAGTTATCTCAGTGACCGGCAGCAAAGAGTGACTGTAAACTGGCGGCATCTGGGTGGTGTAATGTTTATTCCGGTGTCCCCAAGGGTTCCATACTTAGGCCCAAATTATTTTTTATCAACGACTTACCTGCAGTTTTGAAACATTCTACCTGTTTTATGTTTGCTGACGATAGCAAATTTTGTAAAAAAGTTACATCTTTGTTTGACTGTGAACAATTACATGATGATAGTGATAGAGTATTTGACTGGTGTAAAAAGTGGTGTATGCAAATTAATATTAAAAAATGTACCATAAGGTTTTCCATGAAACGTAATCCAATTCAGTATTCTTGCATGGTGGGAGGCGAGTTTTTATCGAAGGCCACATGTGTTAAAATCCTTGTAATCTGGATATCGGATAATCTTAACTTCTCCCACCATATTAAAAACATTGTGTCAAAAAGTGTGCAAATGCTTGGATTTTCAAAACGTTCATGTAAACATTTTAAAAACGTATCAGTAATAAGGTCATTGTATATAAGTTTAGTCAGAAGTCTATTGGAGTAATGCAGCGAGATCTGGTCACCGCACCAAACTACTTGTATACACCAGCTAGAATCAGTACAAAGATTTTCTTTTTAATTTTTGTTCTTTAAGGCAAATTTTAATTTCCATAGCCATTCTTATTCTGATATATGTAAACATTTTAATCTGCCTTCTTGGAAAGCAGACGACAATATCTGGATATTTACTACCTTTTTAAATGTATTAATGGGCTGTTCGACTGTTCGTGTTTAATAGAAAAGATTGGTATTTTTGTTCCGAGAAAACTTCTACGTTCTGCTAGGATTTTACAATTTAGTTGTCCACCTGGTAGTATTAATGTCCGAAAATTTAGCACTATTCATCGTGCTGTACGAACTTTTAACAGAAATGGCCCTGAGCTTGACTGTATATTTGATTGTGCCTTCCCTTCTTTTAAGTCTCGCCTAAAGACAGTATGTTTTAGATGATTCTTATGCTTTTGTATGCATGCTACACTTTTCTTAATATTGTATGTATGTATTTATCTGTAGTATTTTATTATATTTTTGTTATCATTGTTATCAATTCTGTAATTGGACCCTTGGGTCTGTTGAATTGAAATCAATAAACAATAAACAGTTAATAGGGGGCTAAATATAAATCCATACTAACGTTACAGTAATTTCAGCATAAAACAAATACCTTTTCTTATACATGTTGATACTCAATATGTTATCAGTTAGTTCTCAGAATGATGTATGTAATAAGTTTTCCTACTTTTTCGTATAATTCCCTCAAAACAGCAAATGCTCTGTCCAAGCCCGCAACGACGATATTCTTCTGGCAGAGAATTAGGAGCGCACTATAAATAGCAGGCTATCTTTTGTTAATTTACTGAAATTGCATACTACTATGCATTGAAATTACACCAGGGTCATGCAAATGTCATAAACATTAATCTTTGTGAAAAAATTAACCTTATTGTTGTAAGTTTGTCGTGAGAGTACGTTAAGATATTGATAGTGGTGTGACCACGTTTACATTTTAACTCTCGCGAGAGCACGTTATATAAATATTGGTCTACGTCTACCAAATAATTTACCTATTTCATCATATTGAAGATTATGTCAATGATTGGTTTCTGAGTATATTTATACACTCTTTTCCAGAAAGTGCTTTTATTTTTATACTGTCCTAAAAACGTTACTTATTAATTGTCATAAGAATACTTTATTAATTATCTTACAAATAGTTCATTTAATTGTTTCAGATTTTCAGAGACTTTTATTATCACTCAGGCACACTATTGTGTGCCACAAGAGGTCAACATAAAGTACAATATTACAATGATATGGTTGACCGTAAAGCACTCATCTTAATATGCAAGTGTACAATAATATAGTGGAAACTTTTACACTCTTGTAGAGGGGGTATGTTTATATATACTGACAAACAGATATAGACAATCAGTGTTTGTCAATCTTTCGCTTGCTTTACTTTTTTAAATGATGTGAACTTGTTAAAGATGTCTAATCCATTTTGATGGATCAATGAATGGATAAAGATACATAAACATTTGTTCAATATTTATATATTTTCGAAATTTGATAAATATGAATGCAATGCTGTGAAGGGTGTCTCATACATAACTGGAGACGTCTTACCATTCCTTATGTAAGAACTGTTTCCTTATTTTCTTATGACTATTTTTGTTAAATGATGTAGAAAACTTGCAAAACGAAAACGTGTTGCTACGTAATTCCTGTTTGTTGACACTGTACTTTGCAGAAATATTAATGTATCATTCTGTGTCAAAGTAAGGGTTTTTATCGTTCTGTACCCCGGAACGGTTTTGTATGATATCATTCTGTACCTCGGCAAGGTTTTGTATGATATCGGTCTGTACCTCGGTAAGGTTTTGTATCATATCGGTCTGTACATCGGTAAGGTTTTGTATCATATCGGTCTGTACCTCGGTAAGGTTTTGTATCATATCGGTCTGTACCTCGGTAAGGTTTTTCGGTAAAGTTTTTAATGATATCGATCTATATCTCGGTAAGCTTTTGTATGATATCGGTCTGTGCCTCGGTAAGGTTTTGTATCATATCGGTCTGTACCTCGGTAAGGTTTTTCGGTAAAGTTTTTAATGATATCGATCTATATCTCGGTAAGCTTTTGTATGATATCGGTCTGTGCCTCGGTAAGGTTTTGTATCATATCGGTCTGTACCTCGGTAAGGTTTTTAATGGTATCATTCTGTACCTCGCTAAGAGGTTTTTGTATGATATCGTTCTGTTCCTCTGTAAGGTTTTAAATGATAACGTTCTGTATCTCGGCAAGGTTTTTAATGATATCGTTCTGTATCTCGGTAATGTTTAAATTATATCGTTCTGTATCTCGGTAATGTTTTTAATTATATCGTTCTGTATCTCGGTAAGGTTTTTAATGATATCGTTCTGTATCAAAGTAAGGTTTTTAATGATATATCGTTCTGTACCTCGATAATGTTTTAATTATATCGTTCTGTATCTCGGTAAGGTTTTTAATAATATCGTTGTGTACCTAGGTAAGGTTTTTAATGATATCGTTCTTTATCCCGCCTCTGACAAAAATGTAGCAATTTCATTGGCTGGCGCGAACCTCTGTAAAAGTATCACTCGAATTGCATATGTTGTAATATTTATTTCAGTAGTTGATATTGAAAATAATAATCGTTTTGTGATCTTCTGCTGGAAACATGGACGAAAAAGGAGTGAAATCACTACCAAACAGAACTACGGAGCTAAACGATATCAAAGGCAAATATAAATAACTGAAAAGAAAAGAACTCAAGGTCTGTAGATCCAGGAGTGTTTGTCGAAAATACGAAACATAACGAGAAACGGAAAATCGTTGTTCGTGTTAAAAAGAAATGAAAAATAGCAGTAGATAAGTAAATAGACAATAAACAATTAAGTTTCTGAGGTGATATTTTAATATCATAAGACTGATTAGCACAACAAAGTGGCAGTGGCTGCCATATTTGACACTATGGACCCAAACACACGTTGATACTGCGTGATACTCATTCAACAATGTTTACACCATTAAGCATACACTTTTGTTATCACGGATTGTATTAGTATATGGAAAACTGAAACAAAAAAAAAGACATGTTAACTGGTTTTACAGTTCAGCACCATAAAAATAAACTTGGTAAAGATGAAACAAGTTTTTACTTTTCAGGTTTATGCAAACGCAGCAGTCTGGATATTTGTTCAGATATCAGGATAATTGAATGACATTGAGATTTTAGATTCTATAACCAACGGTTTCTGACGAAAATAACGCTAATCTTTGATGATCTTGACTTCTGTGTCAGCGTACCTATAATTTGTGCGTCCAACCAGCGTTAAAATCTATAAAAATGCCTTCTAACGGCCTCGTCATCAACAGGAATGTAAGCAACTTTATCATATTGTACACATCCTTATATCGCTTCTACTGATTTTATAACAAATATATATGTAACTCTTGAATAAAAATCATGATTGCGAAATAAAAGATAACAGCTAAGTGCTTAGCTAATTATTTATCACTTGTGTGTAACATAATACTAAAAACTAAATAAAATGCTTGACAACTTAATCATATACTACATATAGTTCCCTCCTGTGTAATATGAAGGCGTTAAAGTCTGAAACCCATTCGATTAAAAAACTATTAAGTATAAAACAAAATGCTCGATAACAAATTCTTCTTGTTTAATATTTAAAGCATTTTTATCAACTTTTCAGCACCATGCTTTAATGTGCGCAGTAATTGGATTAGACAATGAACATTGCACTTTTCAATACGTTTCAGTGGTTGTGGTGCCCATGTTGGTGATGGTGGTCTTTGTGCCGAGCTACCAGAACGGGAACATGTGCGTGATGAATGACGTAATCACTGACGCTCCCCATGAACGTCCTCCTTAAGGTGCCCATCCCTCTCGTTCCTGTAACAATAAGTGATACACCCTCGTCTTTGGCAACCTTGCAAATCACTTCCCCGGGTGTTCCGCCCATGCTTTTTACTTTACCACCAATCTGTAAAATCAATTTCGCGAAATATTAATCCAAACTAACACATAAGAAATATACACAATAAATACATGCAATTTCTAATCTATACTTAATTCGTTTCCTGGAATTTACAATGTGAAAAAGTATCTGGAGCGTTAGGACTTCACAGTGATAACTGCGTTTATGAACGAGCCAGCCTATTAAAATTTTAAAACTTTTAAATATTACTTAGAAGATTGATGATGTTTTCGTCAAGGGCTTTTTAAGATTACTTTAATCTATGAATAAAATGTTCCACAAGAGTAAAACATCGTATCAAAAGTGCCCTTAATAAGTAACAATTTCTTTACAACCATCCATTCACATGCAATTGTAAAAAAAAAAAAAAAAAAGGCAAACAACTCCAGACAGCTTTAAAATACTTTTTGGAGTAAATTTCATACCTGATACACTAACTTTGTTTTCTTCCTGGTATTTGTATATTAAGCCCATCGATTGGCAATTAACATAACCAGTGTTATATTGGCAAACAGACTTATATGTGAGCTAGTTTGACTAAAAGAGCAGTTAAGCATCTTATTTGACTCAATACAGTGATTTATGTGATACGTACACCGCGTTCCTTCATTTTAGTTCCCAATGTTTTGAGCAGTTCCTCAACCCTTTGCTCCTCTTCCTTCCACATATCGGTCAGCACAGAGACGTCCGCCATCACCATTGCTGTCAATGTCAAACAGATTATAAAAAACAACAATAAGAAAATACCAAAATGTCAACACAACCATAACTCAGCGTCAAATTTTAAGGTATTAACAAAGGAAAAGTGTACATGGAGATCATTCAAATTGAATAATAAGACCAGGAGTTCCGGAAAGGTAAGCGTAAACAAAACGGAATGTGTCTTTGATAAGAAGAGATTGGTTAGTTTTGATTGGTGATACATTTACTTCCATTAAACGTTAAGAACGAAATATGTAAACATAAATGAGGATGATACCTTTTGTGAATATAATAGATTTATTAGACACGTTGCACATATCTAAATACGTGAAACGAGCAACATGTTTAAACAAAGATTTTTATCTTCATCTGACTTAAATCTTATGCTTCCTGGATCACATTAACTTGTAACTCGTACCGAATTGAAAATAGTGCCAAAAGATAATAATGATGAAAGAACAGTCAATTCAATTCAATTTATTTGATTAACTTTAGACCTTGCGGCCCATCAGTACATAAATATGTTTATACATAACATAATAAACGACGGCACGACAAACATTCGCAAACGTAAAGACTTTATATAGCAATATATTTTCACGGTTGACAAAAATTCCTGCTTTACAGTTTAAAGTTTTAAAATTTTGAAAAAAAAGTTTTGGATAACAACTATCATTCTCTAAAAAGAGCTGCAATGATACGCATACCTCACGATATGATGCGATACGATACGATACAAAAAGGTCAAAGTCATAATGATTCATTGCAGGATTTTATTGAGCTTCCGGTTGATTCACTTTTCTTGTAACTCTGATGCATATGCATATTGTATTTAAGCATGGTAATAGCATGCTTCTTCTGTTCCTCTTCATTCTTATTCCTTATATACTAACAAGTATGCCATTAACTTCAAGTATACAATTTTTCGATAACCTAATTTTAAAAATAACTATATTCTGCTTCCCACTCGTGTTGACATTGAAGTTGTGTGTTGACACTGTTGTAGAGTTTCTCCATGTGGATCGACGTTGTGTTACTGGGTGTAGTTTGTATTTGTGTGTTGACACTGTAGTATATTTTACCCTGTCTGTAGGCCCTGTGGTATGTTGTTTCCTTTGTGATTCGACGCTGGGGTACTGGGTGTAATTTGTATTTGTGTGCTGACACTGTAGAAAATGTCCCCCTGTGTTTAGGCTCTGTGGTATAATTTTGTCCCGTGTGTTGATTCTGTACTATGTTAATGTCTCTTAACATTTTCTTCGGGTTGGTAAGTATGGATTATGAAATAGTAGCAGAAACGACATCGATTTTGTGCACAACTCGTACACATTTTACACATTTGTGTGCATACGCTTCACTGGTCATTTGTCTGATGAAGGTGACAGTGTACATATCGTATCAGTCGTCGAAACGTCACATAGAAAATTTTATTGGTTGTGTAAAAAGAACTTTTCATAATATAGTAATGCCCTTTGTCAACTGCCGTTTTCTCTTCAGCTACAAAAAGCAGTTACTTCGATACTGCATCTGTAAAGCTAAACTATATTATTGTTTTAAAATACTCGTTTTGATTGATATGCAAAAGCTGTCTCGCTTATCACTCTATAATTCTCACTAAAGGCAGGCTGCGATAGTAAATGTCAGGTAGGCTATTCAACAGCACATGCCTCGGAGTAAAACGGGTCACTTTATGGAATCGTTAGCTTATTGTTAGCTTTAAACGAAAATAAAACTAAAATACGTCACTAAAATTTAAAAGTATCAACCGCTTTTATAGTGATACGTCTTTGGGTATTAGATATAATCCAGCTATATGAAAACTTTACGGTAAATGTAACATTCAAGAATAAAAAGGCTAAACAAAACAAAACAAAAACCAAACATTATTGAAGTCGTATCAAGCTGACCATGCTCGAACGACTGTCTATTGTGCTGACATACGTACGTGACGCTACAACGTTGTGATATTCTGGTGTGTGTAGCAATATAACCTTGTCCTCCTTCTTGTGAACATTGTCCATGTACCCTAGATAACGAAAAACACAGCATTACATGTGTGTGTCAGTTATGAATATTCTGTTATCGATTGAACTTTGGCCGTAAACCAGCTTTAATACTACTTTATAACAATTAAAAAGGATCATAAAATGTTTATAAATATATTCATAGCATAGTTTTAAACACGTACAAGATACCAACAGAAGAACAAATATATTTTAATTTTACATGTAATAACATCTACTTCAAAATGATCCTTCGAGTGAACTGGATAGAGTCCAATAGCAACAGCCTGTAAATTTACCGTGATGTTTAAGGTCACTCAGAGTTCAAACCAGATCGCCCGCTATTAAACTTGTAAAACAGTGCCCTAGTAAGCGGATAACAAAACACCATGTCCACAAGCTTGGTTTGTACTTATATTAAATGTGCGAGATCTTTCCTACACGCTTCATATAGGCAATACATATAACTCGACACATAAAAATGTTGAAATCAAATTTTCTATTTGAAGCTATGTTAATTTTGTTCATGTTAATGTATATTAGAAATATAAGCAATCACTTTGCGACTTTTCTACATGTACATGTCTATGTATGTATTTCACTGTGTTTTTCTATTTTGCCTTCAAACTACTTTGTAGTTACAAATGTACAAATAATATTTTGAATTTGAATTTGAATTAATATTATGTATTAAATGCACTGCTAGCCTAGTAATGGCTGCAAACAAGTTAAAACAGCTAATAACGGAGGTCCAATCAGTTCACATAATGTGTCACGTTGCATCTCATGCCACTAAAATAATACTACCCCCCAATCTACGTCATCTCAGTATAACATATATCTTCGTCTAAAACAATGATGACACGAGCAAGGATATTCAGTTTACTTTATACCTATATCATTTTGCATTTGACACTTACAATCGAATGCATAGTTTGAGTATTCACTGCCATCCTGGGCAATAAGTACGGTCCTCTCTGTTGGAGCAGCCATTGTGTGTGCAGCGTGTAGCCGTTGTCAGCTGATTTCGTTTGTTAGATGCGTGTCACAACCCCGTCTGAGTAATACTAGGGTCGAAAACCGGACTGATATTCCGGATGCGTGGTCACGTAAAGTTATTCTAATCTTGTGCTAGTTGGAAAGACTACCTCGCTAAGTAGGTTCTTTCATTTATTCATTCTCTACACGGAATTATACGTTTCCTAAAATGAATTTGATGAACTACATAAAGTTTTCTGATAAAACTTTAACTTTATTAAATTGACAAGTATCTGTATATTCAATGAACACAAAATCATACACAAAATTAACCTCTTTATAGCTTAAGTTCAGGAGCTAAATATTTGCATTGATGTACCTCAATAAGTTTTTACTACATATGCTATCGGTCTATTTCTTTTTTTATATTTTTGTATCGTTTTATACCTAAGTTAGGTCATATATGCAATAATTTTGTAACTCGATAAAAAAAATATATGCTATCGTCATAAAACTCGGTACTTATTTGTGTGCTATCGTCATGTAGCTAAGTAAGATTATATTTGCTATCGTTCTTTACCTCTGTAAGGCAGACACACAGATTATTTATATCCTCCATATAGATATTACATTTCTTACATGAGTGAACTGTAACAATAATTAGGTCGTTTCAATTATAGAAAACATCGTATATAAATGTCATATTGTTATGCTATTAACACTGCAGATTATTTACATACCACATTGGTCAGTACAACTGACCTCTCAGAAATTGAGATTCACTTCCCAAGAAAAATGTTAACTTCAGAAAGCATGTGCTCTACACAGCGTGCGACTCCGATGATGTAGTTCTCTCATTCATCATAATATATTTCCATCACCATTCTACTACCTAAGAGAAACAGGTACTGATCATCTTCTTCCAACAAATCAAATTTAACATAATCAATAAATTTTAGCGAATTTACAACATGCTCCAAGAGCTTATCCCTACTGCTGAATAAAGATGGACAGTTTATAAGGAAGTGCTTCGCTATTTTGTCTGTTGCTTTACTGCACAATTTACAAATTACACAATCAGCCCCTGTCCCATATTCTTGAGAGCTTTACTAATTCCGCAAGAGTCCATGTCAGTTTTGGATATTTCAAGCTCAATATCCATAGAGGGTTGGTACCCATATACGGATTTATTACCCCTTTGATAAAAATCTAGGAATCTGATTGGTTTAAAACTACAGTGTACTAAACCGCATTCGTAAATCACAGGGGGTATAGGAAAATCTCAGGGGGTTTACGGTCATGTCATGTGATTCTCAGCAGTAATACGGTGGAATCACGTGATTTTACAAGGGGTATACGGATAACATGTCTTTGTATCTTGCGGCCGGGCAACGCGAGACAACTCGCATTCGTCGTCTGCTTCGCTGTTTACAAAATGGCAAAACGTTTCGCTTCGCATACTGATGAGTAAAAACTCGCCAAAAGGGCTAACTATGTGCCACAAAACACACAAAAGTCGAACAGAGGGGGCGGCAAACATGATGAGGACGTATTCAAAAGAAAAGAATCAGGAAAAACAGTTCGAAGAATTTGATAAAACGAAATTAAATGAGGTACTGTGCCATTTTTATCTTGACAACAGAAAAGTTGACGGGGAACTGTACAAAACCAATATAAAAGACTCAAAGGGGTAATTCGTAACACGGATATTTGGCAGGGTAAACGGGATGGTATGACCCTAAAGGGTTTCGTATTTCCTGAGGCCGATACTAATAGTATGCACTTATAATGACTTAGTAGCACATTGTGCTCACATCCACATGTAATAAAATAAAACTGTTCTGTAACGTTTTTGACAATAAGATCCCATTGTCTTGAACTGCATGCTAAAAGATGAAGAACGAATTCAAGAAAGAACGAGTGTATTCCAAATGTTAACATTGTGTCTGATATATCCTTAATGAAACTGGCACTACAGAAAAAGTACTTTCGAAATACAAAGTTGCATTCTCGAATAAGAAATAGGGTTTTCCGAGCGAAGTCAGTACTGGCATTGCATAACTTATTACAAAAGAATAAGTTGCGTTTTTCGACTTCACACCAACCATCCGAGAGTTCAAGAGCCCTTGTTGTTATTGCTGATGATGATGTTTTTTTCAAAAAACATCCTCGCTGCATACCATTGCATTCGCTCCAGCTCGCTATTCCAGGGTACACTTTTGATGTTGTCCATGTAATCGGTGTATTTCCTAAAGAACACGAAGTCTTTAATTCACTTTGCGGTCGTTTCCGATTTGTAAGTTGCATTAATGAAGATTTTGCACAATTATAGTTAAGTCTCCAAAGCTTTGCATATGTGTGGACAATGTCTAACTGCATCTGTAGATTTCTGATCGACACAGCTAAAAGTAAAGTGTCATTTGCTAGGAAAAACTCCGGAATGTGGAGGTTTCGGACAACTAGTCCAAGACCTGCTTCTTCTAGCCTAACCACCAAATCATCAATCATAATAAGGAAAAGCCAAGCAAGGAGAGTCCTCCTTTGACCGACCCCTTACTCTATAGGGTACGCATCGCTCGTTTCCCCATCATAAAGAACACATGCTGTCACATCAACAAACAAGTTATGAAGAATCCGCATGAATTTTCCGTTGATGCCTAACCGATACACCTTTAATAGCAACCCTGTATCCAAACACTGTTAAAGGCTTTTGCATTGTCAAGAAACGCTGCAAAGACTTTTGAATTGCGCTCCAGATAGTGACAAATTGATTCTTTTACTGTAAATGCGGCTGTAATGCTGACACATTGTGGTCGAATTCCCTATTGCAGCTTGTGTGGAAATACAATTTTTGAACAATATTTTGATATTCGCTGATACATGATTTTTTCAAAAAGTTTTTGTAGTACTGGTGTCAATGTAATGTCCCTGTAATTATTCATGTTAAGACGGTCTTTCTTCTCGCCTTTAAACAAAGTGATAACGATTCCTTTTTTGAAATGCTTTGGATAGTCTTCCTGATCAATGATAATGTTAAATAGCACGACTAGCACTTTCCTCAGCATAATCCCACCATAACGAATATGTATATAATATTATCATGTCCACCTGCTTTCCCAGTTTTCATATATATCTTATTGCTTTTGTTAGCTCATCGAATCCAATGTGTTTCTTGCATATGGTATTCTGGTTATTGAAACTGTTCATGTACATTCGTCCGATGTTACGTTTTTTCTTCCTCTTTGAATTCGGCATCTTAATGTGGTTGTGTGCCTGGCTTTGATAGGTTTTTATAATACTCTGCCCATGGTTGTGTGCCTGGCTTTGATAGGTTTTCATAATGCTCTGCCCATGCTTTCCTGTTGGTATCCGGATCGCGACTCATCTCATTTTCAATGCGCAGTTCATTAGACGAAAACGTTTTGCATTTCTTCTTCCCGATTTCCTTGTAAAATGTTCCAATATCTATTTCAGCTGCGTCTGGCAGCTCTTCCAACTGTTTATCCTCATATAGTTCCCACACTTCATCCAGTGCTGTTCTAAATTCGCGTTTTGACTGTTTGTATATTTTGTATGATACATAGCAGTGTCCTCTTGGCCGTCCTTCTAGTACCCAATTTGCACGACGTTGTCGCATAACAGTGTGCGATTCCTCAACATGACCGTGGTTCACGTACGGCTTAAGAAACGGACGGTATAGCTTAATTGGTAACGTTGCGTTAGCAGCCTCTCGAATCGCAGTAATGGTATACTGAACTAATGTTTTCAGCAACATTAATACTAGAAGCATGTATGCTTAGCATGTGTTCTAGTCTCTCATCCAGCTGTGTAACATATCTAGCTTTCTCCTCAGATGTTGCCTTTTTCCAGTTTACCGGCCGAGGAGCGTTGATATCGGCTTTATTGACGCGAAAATGAGGCTTCATAAACAATTGTAACGGGCAGGTGGTCGGATACGTTGAGGAAGTGGTCGTCGTGAATCACATAAGAAGTTACCAGGTCACACTTACTGTTTTCATCCAAAATATGGTCAAAAAGAGAATGGTTCACTCCATCGTTAGACACAAACGTAAAGTCACTTCCTTTGGAGTTAGCAGATAGAAGTTGTTTCTCTTCGATGAAATTGTCCAGTAACACGCCCCTTTCATTAGGACGATCATGATTTAAAGGTCTTAGTAAGGTTACATATATGATATCGTTCTGTACCTTAGTAAGGTTATATATGTGCTAGTTGTTCTGTAACAAGGAAAGTGTTTATGCTGTCGGTCTTTACCGATGTAAGGTTTTGTATGCTTTCATTATGTACCTTTATAAGGTGTTTATGCTACACATATCGTTCTGTACCTAAGTAAGGCTATATTTTATATTGTTCTTTACCTGGGTTAGGTTTTGTATGCTTTCGCTCTGTACTTGTGTTAGGTTTTGTATGCTTTCGTTCTGTACTTATGTTAGGTTTTGTATGCTATCGTTATAAACCCCTGTGAGGTGTTAATGTTATTGTTCTGTACCTGTGTTAGGTTTTGTATCTTTTCGTTCTGTACCCGTGTTTGGTTTTGTATGCTATCGTTCTTAACCCCTGTAAGGTATTAATGTTATTGTTCTGTACTTGGGTTAGGTTTTGTATCCTTTCGTTCAGTACCCGTGTTAAGTTTTGTATGCTATCGTTCTTGAACTCTGTAAGGTGTTTAGGCTATTGTTCTGTACCTGGGTTAGGTTTTGTATGCTATCTCTCTGTACCTGGGTTAGGTTTTGTATGCTTTCTTTCTGTACATTGTTTAGGTTTTGTATGCTTTCGGTCTTAACCTAAGTAAGGTTATATTTGCTATCGTTTTGTAACTATGGGGGTTTTATGCTATCAGTCTGTACCAGGGTCAGGTTTTCTATGTTTTCGTTCTGTACCTGTGCTATGTTTGTTCTTTACTTCTGTAAGGTGTTTATGCTATCGTTCCGTACTTGGGTTAGGTTTGGTATGCTTTCGTTCTGTACTTTCGAAAGGTTATATTTGCAATCGTTCTTTACCTCTGTAATCTTTATAAACCAGGGTAAGGTTTTTATGATATCGTTTTGTACCTGGTTATGTTTTGTATGCTCTCGTTCTGTACTTACGTAATGCTATATATGCTATCGTTCTTTAACTAGGAAAGTCTTTAATGCTCTCAGTCTGTACCAGGGTCAGGTTTTGTATGCTATCCTTCTGTGCTTCGGTAATGTTTTGTATGTTTTCGTTCTGTACATAAGTAAGTTTTTGCTTTCTTTTTTTACCCCTGTAAGGTGTGTATGCTATCTTTCTGTACCCGAGTTAGGTTTTGTTTGTTTTCGTTCAGTACCTGTGTTAAGGTTTGTACGCTATCGTTCTTAACCTCTGTAAGATGCGTATGTTGTTGTTCTGTACCTATGTTAGGTTTTGTACGCTATCTTTCTGAACCTCTGCCAGGTGCGTTTGTTATCGTTCTGTACCTGGGTTAGGTTTTGTATGCTATCGTTCTGTACCTGTGTTAGGTTTTGTACACTATCTTTCTTAACCTCTGTAAGGTGTTTATGATATCGTTCTGTACCCGAGTTGGGTTTTATATGCTATCGGTCTGTACCTAAGTATGGTTATATATGCTATCGTTTTGTAACTAGGAAAGTATTTTATGCTATCGATTCGTCCTTATTTCTGGGTTAGGTTTTGTATGCTATCCTTCTGTTTCTGGGTTAGGTTTTGTATGCGTTCGTTCTCTACCAGTGTAAGTGTTTGTATGATATCGTTCTGTACCAGTGTAAAATGTAAATGTTTCGTTTTGTATCTGGGTGGGGTTGTATGATATCGTTCTGTACCTGGTTAACGTTTTGTATGCTATCGTTCTGTATCAGTGTAAGGTTGTGTATGATATCGTTTATTTCATATTTCTGTAAGATGTAAATGATATCATTCTGTACCTGGGTTAGGTTTTGTATGCTATCGTTCAATACCTGGGTTAGGTTTTGTATGCTATCGTTCATTACCTGGGTTAGGTTTTGTATGATATCGTTCTGTACCTGGGTTGATTTTGTATGCTATCGTTCTGTACCTGGGTATGGTTGTGTATGCTATCGGTGAGGTGTTTTTTTTATCTCTTTTAAGATGTAAATGATATCGTTCTGCACCTGGGTAAGGTTTTGTATGCTATCGTTCTTTACATGGGTTAGGTTTTGTATGCTATCGTTCTTTACCTCTTTAAGGTGTTTATGTTATCGTTGTGTACAACGATAATGTTTTATACATGATATCGGCCTGTTCCTAGGTAATGTATTTGATTTATATCAGATCGCACCAGGAGATATCGGCCGCTTCCGGCTATGTAAGCCTGTATTTGAGGTATTTTATTAGTTGACCAATTGCTTAGATTGCGTTCATATTGATAATTGAAATAGTTTGTTATGGTTGTCTACCGGAAATATTGACGGAAGAGTGCCATACTGGAATCACTACCACAACGAACTGCAGATTTAAACATTATTATATGCAAAAGACATTAACAGAATTTTAAATAAAATAAAATAAATCAAGGTTAGTACAAATTGATGGCAGCGATTTAGGAATGTTCATCAAAAGTACGAAAACAAAAAGAGAAGGAAAACTCCTTGTTCGATTTTATAAGATAGAAAAATAATAAAAGAGAAGATAATAAACAATAGGGTTTCTGTAGTCATAGTTTTAAATAAATGAAAGTCTGAGTAACAAAAGTAAAAAGTAGCAGCAGCTGCTACCTTATGTGACAAAGCGGACCCTTACATTTTTGATGCATGAAACCCACCATTATATTGTATTTATAATGTGAAATGCATTTTATATAACTATTGTATAAATAAGAACAAATAAAAATGATTTTATTGTATTTTAGTCGTTGAATTTATTGAATTTAATATTATCGATGATCTCATCACATACAGACTTTCTCATATCCTTACACAACCTTATACCAAAAATCATTCGTATCATTCTTTCATATGAATGAAACTAATGAAGTGTAATATTACAACCAATTCGGCCTAAATCATAATGGGTACAATAAAGTACTCCCCCATATCTTCATGATCGGTGCACAACATATCAATAAAAGCTAAGACAATAAAATTCCGGTTAATATTTGTTACCTCGGTATAGTGTGAGGCGTCTAATTGTGCAACCTATTCCATTAAAATTGATTACTATACGAAACAAAAGCTCAATCATTCCTGTTTGGTATTTAAAGTGTATGTGATTTAGAATGTAAGAATTGTATTCATTTGTCAATATACACAGTAAACTTACCTTACGATAAAGACAAGTAATAGCACAAGTCATCCCATCAATGCAATTGCATTAACAGTTTACTAATAAATACCGATATGCGAAAACTATCTTTCAGCATCGTCTATGGCGCGACTATTTCAAAATGGCGAGATTCGTCAATTTTGGTTCCGACCTCATATCTTAACTATATGTAAACGAAGTATGCCTGGATCCTTGGCGTTGTCAGAAAGCTTTATGTAATTGGTTTGTGTACCAAAACCTGTTGCGAACTTGGCGAACTTCAATGAGTGACGTCATTGCGCGATGCTGATTGGCTGATGCTACGTTTGCGGCCGTAGCAAATGACTCCTTTTCTGGCTACGCTTCAAGCTGTCTAGAAAGTCCAGAGTAATTTTGTTACCACAGGTCCCAAGATAACCATAATGGCTTTTTTACAACCTAGGCGATAAGGTAGGAATTTCATAATAATCCAATAGCAATTATTACACCTATGTTTTGGGTATTTGAAGTTCCTTCGAAAACTATGATCGGCGTTATGCATGATGCGATACTCTCAAAAGCAGTCAATATAATCCAAAAAAAATAATAACATCTTCGAAACTGTGATTAAATTAAGACAAGATTAACAAAAAGTCTGCTAATGTTTCACGATCCAAGGGGAGCAACTCAAGCTTAAAAACGAAACAAATTTTTAAGCAAATTATTTCCAAATTACCGCCAATGGTGTTTAGGTTTCGGTATTCTATTTATTGTAAATAATGCAATATATCCCCCGATAATAAATGAACTGTGCATTTGCATCTGTCAATTTCGTATCTTTAGACAACCTGAACTTCCAAGAGCGAATCCAATTTAATTTTACCGATTCTGTTTCCCTATTTCTCAAGACAAGAATTACGGCAATGGTTTTGAAACGTTACCATACGATTTCTCACAAATATGCTGGCACCTCTAGTTAAGTTTGATATAACATTTACAACAGAATATATATGAAATGGGGCCAGCACTTTGCTAGGCATATAAACGTATGCTACACTATTCCGTACGTTTTAGTGGTTGTGGTGTCCATGGTGGTGGTGATGGTGGTCTTTGTGCCGGGCTACTATAACGGGAACATGCGCGTGATGAATGATGTAATCACTGACGCTGCCAACAAACGTCCTCCTTACCGTGCCCAACCCTCTCGTTCCTGTGACAATAAGTGTCACACCCTCATCTTTGGCTACCTTGCAAATCACTTCCCCAGGTTTTCCACTCATAGTTTTAACTTTACCACCAATCTGAAAAGAATCATTTTCATGATATACTAATCTATACTTACTAATTTAATCAATTAACATACTGACTTCACGTGATTTCGTTAATTACTATTTTATGAAATCCACAGAAGGATTCATGATAGTTTATATCTTGACTTACAAGGACTAAGGAACCTTGAAAATATATACAGTCTGATAAGAGTGATTAACACTTTCTACCATGCATTGATCTGGACGAGTCCATTGTGGTCTACAGTGGTGAAAGGATTAAGACAATTCTGATAAGACAATTAATATCTCTGCTAACAAGGACTAAAAGATATAATTTAATATCTCTGCTAACAAGGACTACAAAAAATATAATGTATATCTCGCTAACAACGGAGTAAGAAAAACCTGCTAATTAATATCTCTTCTAACACAGACTGAGAAAATTCTGCTTATTTATATCTCGGCTAACAAGGACTAAGGCATTATGATAATGTATTCCTCGGCTAACACAGTCTACGGAATCCTGATTGTTATTCGACATGATCAATATTAAAGTATGGAGTTTAGTTCATATCCGATACACTAACTTTGGTACTTGTGGTGTTTTATTATTTAGTCAATAGATCACCAAAACAATTTTGGATGTTATAATGCCACAGAGAATAAGGGTACAGAATAATGGTATGCATATTGTAATCGTTTCCATGCAAACAATACCACTGTGAACCATTATGTTAAGGTATGAAAGAGCAGTAATAGACATCAATAGACATTATTACCCAATAGTCTATATAAATTATAATTAGTCATTTTTGACTGTTTCTGGCTTTTTGTCCAATTTCGGCTGTAGGGGTGAAACAGTCAAAACTGTTTTCCCGGTCAGAGCGAACTGTTACCCGGCGCGAATTCGATGCGCAGAAATCTCCCATTGAGAGCCCCGTTAAAGCGTTTATTTGACCTCAGCATTGATACTAAAATATCTATTTGGTAATAAAACAATTGTTTCAATGCTATTAGGGAAACAGTCAAAACTACCATTCCTCGGTAGGGGGAAGCCCTGTGGAACTGTTTGCCCTCGGCCTAGCGGCCTCGGGCAAACAGTTCCACAGGGCTTCCCCCTACCTCGGGATGATAGTTTTGACTGTTCCCCAAATAGCCATGAAACAATTGTATANCAGAGCGAACTGTTACCCGGCGCGAATTCGATGCGCAGAAATCCCCCCTCGAGAGCCCCGTTCAAGCGTTTCGGTGACCGCGACTCAGTGTTGAAGCAATGGCAACATTGCATGCAGCATTGATACTAATATTTATTTGGTAATAAAACAATTGTTTCATGGTTATTTTGGGAACAGTCAAAACTATCATCCCGAGGTAGGGGGAAGCCCTGGGGAACTGTTTGCCTGAGGCCGCTATGAAACAATTGTATACTAGTATTTGACCAACTTACACCGTGGGCCTTCAATTTAGCACCCAATTTGTCCTGCAGCTCACTTATCCGTGTCTGTTCCTCCTGCAACATGTCGTTTATCAACGAGGCGTCCACCACCATCATTGCTGTAAAACAAAATAGTATATATCTTTGAACAGAAGAGGTTTGATTCTGTTTTGATTATACTACTTCTTTAACTCATTAACCCCTGAAATTTCATAATGAACTATTCCAAACCTTTGAATTGGAAGAGTTCAAATGTGCCCTCAAGGGTGAATGAAAGCTTAAGTGAACACTGAAATATCAAACATCTTGGAATACCTATTGCTGTAAAGACAGTTTCCCATTCAAGGAAAATAGTGTTTTTTTTCAGAGATAACATTTTGTCATACTCTAACCATGAAGGTAAACTAAATTTCGTTATTGTTTTAAATACTTGCTTCGTTTAATGTACAAAGACCATTTTCTCTTAACACTTTATCTTACCAGTTTAACTCTGCATAATAAATGTCTGGAAGATTAAATAACACCAAGTGTTGACGAGAAAAACGGGTCATTTCAAAGATAGTTTGCTAATTTTGTTAGCTTTATATAAAAAAAAACACAAATGTTTCACAAAGAATTTAATGAATACACTAGGTTGGTTTAAATTAATACGCCGCATGATTTCGTTTCAAATCGAGACATATCAAAATCTATACTCTTTTTTCGCAACATCTAGGACAAAACCCTTTAAAAACAGAAAAACTTGAAGCCGTGGTATGCTAACCATACTTTAACTGTCTATTTGCTGACATACGTACGTGACGCTATAACTACGTTATGATATTCGGCTACGTGTAGCAACGTAACCTTATCGGTCTTCTTGTGGATGTTGTCCATGTACCCTGCATAATGAAAATTAAATACACATGTCAGTAAGTACGGTGTATATGTCTGAATACATTGTACGTGGTTTTCTCTTTTTTTTAAAGATAGGAGCCAAGCACTGAGCACAAAAATCATTAAAGTTATAAATGATAACAGAATGCTTAAAGAATATTTGTTGTGTAATTAACATATGGAACATACTAAAAGAAGAATAAATTAATAGTAAATTGCACGAATAATCACATCTACTTTAAAAATGATTCCATAGAGTCCAATATAAACAGGTTACAAGTACAGTGGTGCTTTAGCAATGTCACTCTCGATAGTTCGTTTTTAAACTTACATTTTTTATGAACTAGAAGCTATTAATAGAACAGATCGACACTCTGCATGTGAGGCCCTATCATCTTGCATTGAACTAAGGATATGACATGAAAATGCTACTTTAACGTTTGTAATTAACTCCGAGTCGGGGGGTGCATCTCTTTGCACTATAAATGTACGCTATCCCATATTAGTCTATGCCATCTCTGTATGGCGTCTGAAACAACGTATATCCGACTGGAGGAATACAGTTTATCTTATTATGATATCAATTTTCTTTTCATACTTACATTCGAATGCAAAGTCAGAGTATTCACTTCCATCCTGAGCAATAAGAACGATCCTCTCGTCGTCTGTTGGTGCAGCCATTGTGTGTGAAGCGTGTATCCGCCGCTAGCTATGTCTGTTATAATTAGTGCCACACCCCTTCTGAATAAAATTAGAGTCGGAAAACGAATTGGAAGTCCGGATGTGTAGTCACTTTGTTGTTTTTAATTCTGTTTATATACTAGATCACTTTGTTGATTTTGATTATTAAATTTGACAACATATTGCTTTTTGATTAGGGTTTGTCTTTTTTTCGACAATGACCTGCAAACGTATTACACACACGCATACACTACACGCATGCATCTTGCACACAGGGAATGCCGTCCTTAAATGACCACAGCTGTTGATAAGACGTTAAACAATACTAAACCAAACCAAACCCTCAAATGTAAACATCAATCTCAGAGTAAGTGTTAAGCCATATCAAAGACTAAATTTTATTTTTAATCAAATATTTCAAATGATAAAAGCATTCCTCATTTCATTAGTGACTCTCCAAACGATCAATAATTCAACCACTAGGAGATGAATGTAACACACACACGCATGATAGCACCTATAAATGTTGATTTGGCGTAGCATACATGTATGATTGTATGCTCAAGCATACACAAAATTTTCAAAAAAAAATGTAATCATGTATTTTTATTAATTTCCTTTTTATGATTAATATCAATCAGAAAAAAGGAAAGAATACGAAAAATCTTCTTGAAAGTTTAAGCCGGTTAAAAATAGTGATGTTTTACTCTATACACATTGAAAAATCTCGAAGGTTTATGTACATCCAAAACTACTTAGGGAAGTACAAAAATTAATAATATTCATATAGAAAGTCAGGTTTGACTTGTTTAAAATCAGACTAAAAGGATTTCCAATAATACGAGATATTGCTTTTAGGGCCTAATATCATCTCTTTCGAGCTACGGAATGGGGAACTCCCCCTCCCATACCCTCCCCATCCTCCAGGGCTACTCCTCGGACGCTCGACAACCTGTATGCATACACTCCGGAAATTATTTGCTACGCCACTGATTAATCAGTGATGCAAAAGGTCTTAAGCATGGAAAACCGTATTGGTCCCAACTACTGTTAAATCAGAAAGGAAGGTGCATAAAAGAAGAAGTGAGGTAGCTCATTCATAAACATACGATACTACGAACTAATATTTCATGTAAACTCTGCCAAAAACAATCGAGATTTAAAGTTACGGCAAAACTTGGGAATACCAGCGAAGTCAAACACAGTGTGAGGTTAAAGAAATCAGAAGTAAAGAAAGAAATCAGAAGTAAAGAGCACCTATATTAAACTTTATTAAACTGATGCAAAAAGCAAAACATAACAAAACCCATTGAAACCTACCAATAAAGCCATTTAGTCGTTCTTTTTGGACTTATCAATTGTAGTCATGGGCAAAAACGTAAAATCAAACTCGAAGTATGTGGATGCAGGCAGTCACATAAAGTAAGCTGTTTCGGCACTATGTTGCCTTTTTGTAAACCTTGGACCCTTATGGTGGTACGTCAGGGCAAAGAAGGAAAATCGATATCTACAATATCTCATAGCGTTAGTAAAATACAGCTAAGGGGGAAAGGTGCCTTTAATACCTTATATATAGTTAATTCCAAAGGATTTTAACGTAAACCGTTGAATAATAAATTACAGGTAGAAGGCAACGGCCGCCCTCAGTAAGTGGGAATCCCACACGAAGAGTCATCACCTTAAAGAAAAGAAATCCATATCTATAAGAAGGACACACGTAATAACGACGTTCCTTTAAGGAACGAAAAGGACTGTTCATTTCGTGCCGATTTCGCCATAACAATCGTGAATTTTCCTTTTCTTGATAGTAATATATGTGATTCGAAATATTGTGATTTCCTTTATAGAGTTCGAATGTAAGTTTTCTAAATTTTGCAAGTTGATGGAGACTATGATCAAAATTTAAGGTCACCATCAAAAATATTTCCTTGCGCGATAAGAATATCGACTATGTATGCTCATAAGAGCGCTTGTGGGTTCGTTGTCCCAGTTCTCACTTTCAGTATGTGACTATAAATTTCTGACCAAGATCAACATGACGAATGACGTCGATAATGCATAAGACACTTACTCTTCCGGAACACCTGGTCTCATTCATCTTGTACTTTACCAGGGTATCAGTGTAAACGTTGCCTTAGTTCACATGGTCACACATTATGATCAAAACCCAATATAGAGAAGTTATTCATACAAAGCGTGGAAACTTTTCCCTACAATCGTATAACTCGTTGAAAAAAATCATCAAACCATGAGAAACTGTATTAAATAAATGTACGCCGCCGTATTAAAGAAATAGAAAACGTATTAAAAGGTCAGTTGAGTTTTTCTTTTCAATGTTGATTATTCCTTATTATTTAATTCATAAAAGTTGCACCATGACGGTCGCTCTTCCATTAAAAATCATCATGTTGTGTAAAGAGTTTGTGGTGGCGTTTATTTTTGAGCTGCGCTAACAAAGGACAATGTGTCAGTTTTCGTGTTATTTATTAACAAATTGTTCCCGTATAACTTTCTACGACAAAAAAAAAGCTTTTCATTTTCCTAGTTTTATTTGATAGGTGATGTCTTGAAACTCGATACTAAGATATGCACAGAGTTACCAAGTCTCCAGATAAGTTTGTATAATCTGCATACAGCTGCAATACATCTTTCGATTATTATTTTCTCCCGTGCAATCTATTACAAATACGACATCGTGTTTGCAAAAAAGACAATAATAACGTTTTACATGTACTCTTTTTATATAATATTTTGTAGAAATTATGCTTTCTAAAAGTTTCAGTTAGTAGTATTTACAAAGATTTCGACAATACCTGCGATGTAACCTTTGTAAACTTGTAATTGAGACTAAAAAGGATGTCGTTTGACGTAAAACTAAGTATCTCTAAAACAGAAGGGATGGAGAGTAATAGTTTATAGAGGAATAGTAGCTTGTATTGTTGTTGAACGAGCTGATGGGAAAGTATCGCTAGCCGAGTCGGTAGGAACGACCAGCATTTTACCAGGCTGACTTATAAATCCTATTTTATCTTAGATTAACTCCTGCAGCTCTCTCTCCCCAAATGTTTAGATATAAACGCGTGTGAGTGTGTGTATGGGTGTGTGTGTGTGTGTGTGTGTGTGTGTGTGTGTGTGTGTGTGTGTGTGTGTGTGTGTGTGTGNGTGTGTGTATGGGTGTGTATGGGTGTGAGAATGTGTGAACCCATGCACGACAACTTGTCATTTAGCTTATTTGTAATCAAATGCTGCAGGTTCGGGGATAGTATACATTTTATATATCGTATATCCCACTACATACTATCGTAAGAGGCAACTTATGTGAAGGTCATTCTGGAAGTATAAACCAAAATTGATCTCCTGTCCCCTTTATCCAGCCTTCTCTTTATTTCACCATAGGCAGCAGACCCCCGTCTTCATATAATTTTCAAACAAAACAAATCTTTGCACTTGTTTGGTTTTCATTTCATTTCGTACCTGATTCTGTATGTGTACATCAAAATTTTGTACTGTGCGCTGTATCGCATCTGTGAACAGTGCAATGACTTTAGCACTGGGCGATGTGTTCTCCCTTCGGGAAACGAGTTATCAGGTGTGCTGCAGTGATTTGACCCTCTACAAACGATTAGTAATTGAGTTGGATATACCATAGAGCAAGGCATAACCCTAGCCAAAGCCAGAGGTACAGAGTGAATACACCGAAATCTTACATACATCTGTAGTAATAACCTATCGGAGGCGCTCAATGTTACTGATCTGGTAGTAGCAGGATTTAATCATGACATTTTTACGTTTCTTTATGTTCAGTGAACTATGGAAATGCACCGGTAATATTATTACAGCTTGGGCTGCTTGAATAGTTAGGGCAACAACCTAAACCTAGGAAGCATTAAGGAGAAAAGACGATTGGTTCTGTCTTTCCCTGATTAAGCTTAAACATGTTGGCGCTCATCCAGTTCTGATATCTGTTAGCCAAGATTCCAGACATTCTAATATATTGTTCCATCTGCTTTATGGTTTAAACACAATGAAGATGTGTGTGTCATCATCGTATTAATGACAGCGAAGACTGTGACGACAACTTATCTCCCATATCGTTTTTGTAAAAGCAAACAAAAATTATTCATCCTAACACCGATTCCTAAGGAACCCCGAAATCTCGGATTTTGTCATGTGAGGTGAAAGGTCCTATTGAAACACTCCATCTTCATCCAGTCAAATAGGACAGGATCAGGAAAATATATGGAATTAATATTAGTATAACCATCATATAAAAAACTTGTACAACCATATTTATCAGAAATACCCAAGTTAAGCTGTTTATAACTACAATACTATAATACTCATTAAATGGTGTTTATGACCATGCGTTTACAATAATCGTTGAACAGTGTTTATTACCACAAATATTAACATATTGGGTGGTCGTGTTGTGGGAATGGTGTTAAGCACCATGTTCATAGTATACTCATGGAAAGGTGTTTATCATGTTTGTCAAATGCTCATGGAAAGCAATCTTTTACCAAGTTCAAACTATGTTTGTGCTTTAAAATACTCGTGGTATAGATTTTTATCTTGTTGATGTAATATTCGCATTATATATAATGTTCGCAGTGTTTTTGATAATAACGATATATAAAACGAATGTATTCAAATAATCAAATAAAATTTACCGTTAATTCTTACCATAAACATAAACAAGAGGCACATGGGCCTTAACGGTCACCTGAGTCCTACAGTATTTATTTTTGTTGTTGAAATATGTACCAATTTGAATAAAAAATAGTTAAGTATAATGTTAACTTAACTTTGTCAGGACCATGAGCTGATCATGCCTAGACTGATTTTCAGTGAGATCGGCCTATTAGAACTTGTTTTTAAGTTTGAAATGGGTATTTACAAAATAGCGGTCATTGCAGCCAAATTGTATTGCTGATTGACCCGAAAAATAACAACACTTTGTCAGGACCATGATTCGATCATTCCTACAAAGTTTCAGTTCAATCGGCCTAGTAGAACTTGACTTTAAGTTTGAAATA